TCATTGAGACCAATTTCTAGCCATGGAATAATGGCGCACTCGAGTGGTGGGAGTAAACATCTCGAGATATCTCGAGTGATCTCAATAATCGAGTACCACTCGATTTTTCACTCGAAATCTCCCATCACTAGTACTTGGTATTGCCATTTTACTTCCGCTTTCGCTTCCCGCTCAATTCTCAATTCTCAGTTCTCAATTTTATTTATTTTTATCGTGATTGTGGTTTTATTACCAGAAAAAAAGGAAGATGGTTAATCAGTGCTGCGTAGAATCATGCAAAATGATAAGTAAAGGCTGTCCTATGCATCGATTTAATCATTTAGATGAAAAGGTATGTCATGTTTTTTAAATACAATTGCGAAGAACGCTTGTTTAGGTTAGAATGTATATCTTATTATTTTTTTTATTTTGTAGGTTTATAATATTTGGGTTGCTAGAATTAATAAATCAAAAATAAAATCTCTCACAATCATTTTAGTCAATACTGTTTATTGTCTCAAGAACATCGCACTAACAGACGATTGTTAAAAGCACGAAGTTTTCCCACTTTGAATTTACTTGGTAAGTCTTATTTTAAAGTCAAAGAAGTGTACTTTTACAGTTGTTATTCAAAAAATATCAAAATACCTTAAATTTTGTAGTAACTAAAATAAATACACAGTTGTTAGAATCCTAAAAAACTTTTATCGGACAGATTCATCCAGTTAGAAATATGAATAAATGTAGCTTTGTCCGAATGAATGAATGGATTCAAACCTAGTATTAGTTTTTATAAGGTATTAATTTTTATTTTAATAAAATATATGACTGGAATGTAATAGCTATACTCCACGGTCGAAATTATAGAGAGTGATTTATCGCTAGCTTTTGGACTAGTAAGGGGGATGAAGCGTGCCGGGAACGAAAATCCATTGGCGTGTCTGTAAAATAATGAAAAAAGATAATAAAACATAACATCTAATATTTTTTATGGTTTGCTATAACGGGCACTTTGATCCATTTTAATTATTACAGCATTTTAAAACGTCCCAATTGTGTTTTTTTAATTTATAAATTTATTATAGCCATGGAATTAGACCCCTCGTCTACGCTTATGCTATGACGTTTCTCAGGACGGGTTAAATCAAGTCCGTTTACACCCACTAAAAAAGCATTTCCCTATTCCCTACCAAGTGCAAAAGACAGAGATAGAATATAGATCGACGTTCAGTGTAACTCGGTCTCTAGACGAGTATAGATTCTATCGATATGCGTAGCGAGCGGCACAAAATAATATTGAACCGTATAAAAATCATTTTATATTTTATACGCATTATGGTAATAGTGTTTTTATATTATGTCTTAGTCACTCTTTATCATTTCAACCGCGGAGTATACATCAAATCAAATTCAAAATAAAAAATTTCACCCACTTTGTAGCCATCGATTACATTCTGTGGCAGGATTGAATATAGGCAAAGTGTGGTCATAAAATAGTCCCGTTATTGCTGATATTTTTTAACTATATACAATTCCTCAGGTTTCAATGAAAGCTCATTAGATAATGTGTCTGTTTTAACTTGGTCGGTAACAGACAAAGAAACTAAAACTACCCAAGCTGAAGATTACAAGGGTTAAATAAAAGGAATAAAATATTTAAAAAAACTATACCTACCCAAAATAAAGGAATATAAAAACAAAAAAAATGTGACATGGCAATAATGTTTGAATTTATACCGAATTTTTAGATCATGAGAATAAACTTAAACCAACAGCAGGTCTCAGTATACACTATATGCACTATAAAGGAAAATGAAAAAACTACAATCTTACAAGCTCATGATGACAGCCTTAATGTGTACATAACCAATATTTATAACATAAAAATGTTGCAAAGGTAGACAAATTAATAAATTTTTCTGCTAAGTTTATATATATATATAT